AAAAGGTTAAGGTGGGAAGATTGCTTGAGCCCAGGAATTCAAGGCTGCAGTGAACTGCTATTGCACCACTGCTCCCCAGCCTGGGTGACAGAAAAAGGCCCCACCTGTATAAATAGGCTTGGCTCACTCCTGTCATCCCGGCACTTTGGAAAGCCAAGGCGAGCACATCACCTGAGGTCAGGAGTTTGAGACCAGCCTTGACAACATGGTGAAACCCTGTCTCTACGGAAACTACAAAAAATATTAGCCGTGTGTGGTGGCAGGCACCTATACTCCCAGCTACTTGGGAGGTTGAGGCAGGAGAATCGCTTGAACCTGAGAGGGAGAGGTTGCAGTGAGCTGAGACCGTGCCATTCATTGCACTCCAGTCTGGGCAACAAAAGTGAAACTCTGTCTCAAAAAAAATAAAAATAAAAACCAACCAAACAAAACTGAACAGTAAGAAAACAACCCAATTTTTTAAAGTGCACAAAATATTTGAACAGACATTTCATCAAAGACACTATAGAGATGGCAACTAAGCACATGGGAAAAAAATGCTTAACAGCATCAGCCATTAAGGAAATGCAAGGAAAACCACTATTAGATATCACTATACACCTATTAGAATGGCTAAAGTAAACTTTTTGAAAAACTAAGCTGGGGCCGGGCACGGTGGCTTAAACACCTGTAATCCCAGCACTTTGGGAGGCTGAGGCAGGTGGATCACATGAGGTCAGGAGTTGGAGACCAGCCTGGTCAACATGGTGAAACCACATCTCTACTAAAAATATTAAAATTAGCTGGATATGGTGGGGGGCACCTTGTAATTCAAGCTACTTGAGATGCTGAGGCAGGAGAATCGCTTGAACTGGGGAGGTGGAGGTTGCAGTGAGCCAAGATTGCACCAGGGCACTCTAGCCTGGGTGACAAGAGCAAACCTCTGTCTCAAAAACAAATAAGGTTTTAAAAATTGATAAGCCTCTAGCAAGACAGACACAGAGAGGACACATCAGGCATGAAAGAAGCGACATCATTACAGCCTGTGCAGACATTAAAGTACAGAAGAAGATTAGGAAGTAGGTAACACTATGGCCGTAAACCAGACCACTAGGCAAATTTGTTGAAAAACATAATTTATCAACTATTAGTTAATAATAATGATACGAATCTTCTGTGTGCCAGGACCTTGAGGCCCAGCTCCAGGGAGAAACTTGACAGTGGTCAGGATGGCGTCAGATGTCAGATGGCGCAAAGGGGACTCAGAGCCCAGGGATAATAGGGAAGAACAGAGAGGAATCCAGCCATTTCCACAGCTTCCAGCTCTGCTGTGGGAGGCTGGGAACTGCCCAGCACCACCACCCTGTGACTGGGAGGAAGAGACCACAAATTGCAGCTTCCCTGAACCTCCTATCGGTCATGGGGTTGATGTCGTCAAGGTAGAGGTGGGTGTGTCTGGAGCCTCAAGCAACCTGCCGATACCTGCTGGGACCAGGCAGAGGTGCCCAGGGAGTAAGAGGCAGTGTGGTGGAAGAGCACGGATGAAAGAGGCCTTAAGAAGTGCTGGTTAGCCGGGTGCTGTGGCTCACACCTGTAATCCTAACACTTTGGGAGGCTGAGGCGGGAGGATCACTTGAGCCCAGGAGTGTAAGACCAGCCTGTACAACATAGTGAGACCTATCTCTACAAAAAATAAATAACAGAAAAATGTGGGCTGGCCAGGCATGGTGGCTCATGCCTGTAGTCCCAGCTACTTGGAAGTCAGGTGGGAGGATCACTTTAGGCCAGGAGTTCAAGACAAGCTTGGGCAACACAGTGAGACTCTGTATCTACAAAAAAATAATAATTAGCCAAGCGTGGTGATGCATGCCCCTGGGCCCAGCACTTGGGAGGCTGAGGCAGGAGGATCACTTGAGCCCGGGAGGTGGAGGCTGCAGTGAGCCCGACTGCACCACTGCACTCCAGCCTGGGTGACAGAGCGAGACCCTGTCTCAAAAAAGAAAAAAGAAAAGAAAGATGTTGGCTTAAGAGCCAATTCTCCTCTCTTCTACCTCAGGAGCCGCCCCAGAACGCATCACTTTCAGGACGACACAGGATCCCAGCCCACTCAACCCTGGGAGTCCAAAGACATTTTAAACAAAGTCTCTCTTCACATTTATTAATTCCTGGGAGGAATGAGGGAGCGCCCTCCAGCCCCCCAGGGAGCCCAGCCTTCTGCTGCAACAGGAAGGGTGGGAGCCCGTCCAGAATCCCTGGCAGTTCCGAGGACACCAACGGTACTCTCAGCCCGTGGCTGCATCAACTTTCTAGACAAACGGGACAAAAGAGAAGCGGTGGAGGAGGGGAAATCCAAGCAGGCCTCCCTGACGCCCCCCAGGAAGGAAGCAGAGACCTCCATCTGCACCTCCCTCCAGGGCTCCAGCTGCAGGGCGTTTGCTGGGCGCTTCCCCGCCCGCAACCCCCACGAGCCCCCGGGGAGACCAAGCGCCAACCACGGCGCCAAAGGGAGGGGCAGGGAAAGGCCCTCCCGCAGGAGGGCACAGCCCAGGCGAACGCCGCGGATGGAACCGGCCCACGGGACCTCGGGAAGCGTCACCTGTCACCAGGAGCTCCACGGGGTCGCTGAGCTCCGATTCGAAGGTGTTGGGCCACGAGGAACGGTAGCGGCACCTGTAGCTGCCCGCGTGCTGGGGCCCCAGGAAGATCAGCGCGAGGTTTGCCGAGGCCTCGCGGGTGTGGACCGTCTTCACCGCCATCGGCTCGCCCTCGCGCAGCAGCTCGAAGGTGACGTCGGGGATGGTTCCCTCGCAGCGCAGGACGGCGTCTCGGCCCGCGAGCACCGCCCCACTCCACGTGGCCCGGAGCTGAGGCCTGGGCGGGGGCCCTGCGCAGAGCGGGCGGGCGGTCGGGCCAGGCCACACCCCGGGCCACACCCCAGGCCGCGCCCGCGCCCGCGCCCGCGCCCAGCCCTGGCCTCAGCTTCCCCTTCGGGCCCCGCGGAGCTGCGCCCGCTGCCTTCACACCCTGGCCATCCGCGCGCACGTCTGTGTCTGGCGTCCCGGTCCACCCTCCCCCAGGACCGTCGAAGACCCAGATTCGGGGCTACTCGGGACTTCCGGGATTCCCAGCCTCCGTCATTCAGGACGGGTGAAGGGAAGAAGAAATGATGAAGACATCGGTGCTCCTTCATTGAGGAACCAAAAGTGGACATAAAATTCGTATCAACATTTGAGGGTTGTTTCCCTCCATAAATTTAACTTTAAAACTGTATTTAAGGGGCCGGGCGCGGTGGCTCACGCCTGTAATCCCAGGACTTTGGGAGGCCGAGGTGGGTGGATCACGAGGTAAGAAGTTCAAGACCAGCCTAGCCAACATGGCGAAACCCCGTCTCTAATAAAAATTCAAAAATTAGCCGGGCTTGGTGGCAGGTGCCTGTAATCCCAGCTACTCGGGAGGCTGAGACAGAAAATTGCTTGAACCCAGGAGGTGGAGGTTGCAATGAGCCGAGATCGAGCCACTGCACTCCAGCCTGGGTGACAGAGTGAGACTGTCTCAAAAAAAAAAAAAAAAAAAAAAGTTGTATTTAAGGAATCAAATCTTACAAAATCCTGAAAGATGTTGGTAACGCTGTTGATTTCAGCGAAATTAATTAAGTACTTATATTGATTTAAAAGTGTATTTTATTCAATATTTTGAGTATCTTGCCATGGAAGATACTAGCCCAGCCTAGCAAAGAAGTGCAGTATGTATGGCATACTTTGACATTTTAAAAGTTATTTTCCATAACCATTGGAAGTGCTGGGCAAACTACATGAAGTTGTTTGCAATTAATTGACAGCTAATTGGCGGGGCGCAGTGGCTCACACCTGTAATCCCAGCACTTTGGGAGGCCGAGGAGGGCGGATCATAAGGTCAGGAGTTCGAGACCAGCCTGGCCAACATGGTGAAACCCCATCTCTCCTAAAAATACAGAAACTAGCCGGGAGTGGTGGCGCGCGCCTGTAGTCCCAGCTACTCGGGAGACTGAGGCAGAAGAATCACTTGAACCCAGGAGGCAAAAATTGCAGTGAGCCGAGATCTCGCCCCTGCACTCCAGCCTGGGCAACAGAGCGAGACTCTATCAACAGAAAAGACAAGAAAAGAAAAGAGAAAAGGAAGGAAACGGTACTCCCAGCAAAGGACAAGACCCCAAGATCTGCAGGCCAGACCTGCGCCCGCAGGCTCTGCTGGCCTGAGTCCTGGAAACGTCGATGAGGAAATCAGACGGAAAAACAGAGCTGGGGACGGCAGGGCTGGGGAGAATGACACATCAGCCCTGGGCCCGCGGGACCGGGGCGGGGCCAGGGGACCAGCATGACGACAGACATGGCCAGCACAGGAAAACGAAGCAGGCAAAAGCTGCAGGGTCTGCCCAAGAAAACCTGGGTCCAGCCTCCATGCTGCTGACCACGATGCCACACGTGACCTACGGGCATGCGTCGTGGGAAATAAGCCGAAATTCGAGGCGTCCCTAGGACCCTCCACCACCGACCGCCTGCTCCCCGCCAGAGGAGGCGATGGGTGCTGAATCGAAGCCCAGAGCGCCGCCGTCGGACGCCCAAGGACAGGCGGGCAAAGGCAGGAGGCTCCGAGGGCACTGAACCCGCGCACCCGCCCTCCCTGGGACCCCGCCAGCTCACCGTCCACACGCAGCTCCAAGAGCGCGCTGGGCGCGGAGCCGCTGAAAGGTGGCTCCAGGTCCACGTACACGCAGCTGTAGTTGGCGGAGTCGGCCACCGAAATGTTGCGCAGTTCGAAGTGGGCCTCGGTCCCAGCGGGGCTCTGGAAACGGTGCACGCGGCGCCCGCCCCTGTCCTCGCGCACTAGGGCAAAGCGCGCGCCCTCCAGGGGTGCCAGGCACCGCAGCCGCACGCGCGTGCCGGGCTCCGGATTCGGACTCGAGGGCTCCGCGGTGAACACCGGCGCCGGCAGCTTCTCTGCAGAGGACGCAAGCTGACCCGGGCGCCAAGCGGGTGGCTCGGCCCTAACGCGTGGTCCAGCCTCGCTCTCTTTGCCTTGGTTGAGTCTTCTGCCCGCAATGATCTGGCCAGCTTTCTCCCTCGCCTCCTCTGGGCCCGCCCGCCATTCCATCCCCAGCCCTTCTTGGATATCTCACACGCACCTTTCAATGTTTCTTAGTCATTTGTTTGTCTACAGAAACAGACAGGGACATGTTTTGTCCATGGCTTGATGCCTCGTGCACGATGTCGCTCAATAGTGGATTTGCTCCACGAGCGTATTCTGGGCACTGCCGCAATGCCCGCGCCACCCAGGGGTACCTGTGATTCGCTGGGAATGGGGTTCGCTGCCCAATGCTCAGAGTTTGCTAAATATCAAGCCCGGGGCAAGCGAGTGGAGGAGCTGCCTCAGCAGAGGCCCTCAGTGCCCGCCCAGACATAGACCTGGCAGGCTGGGGGGGACCCCAGCCAGGTTGTGCACCCTGTGGCCTGGGCCAGACTTGTTCGCCCAGTTAGTCTTCGTGGGGCCTGAAGTTTGCCATGCTTGTCATCCCATTTGCAGTTCAGGACCCTGAGTCGGGGGATGGGCAGGTAAAGCTGAGACAGGACCCTGGCCCAGAGCACTGCACTTCCCCAACTCTACACCTGGTCCTGCTCCTGCTTCCCAGGGACCCCGCCAAGCCCCTGTCACTGCCAGCCCAGGCTCACCATTACTCAGAATCAGCTCCACCGGCTCGCTGTCCCCAGACCAGCCATTTTGGTTGTCATGCAGCTGGTAGCGGCAGGTGTAGTGACCTCCATCCCCCAGGGCCACCTTGTTCAGGTGAAAGAAGATGCGGTCTGGGCTGGTGCTGCTCCTGGGTACCAGCAGCTCTTTCTCCCCGCGCCGCAGCTGGAACTGCACTCCACTCAGGGGAGCCACGCAGGTGAAGGTCACCTTGCTGCCAGGGCGCAGGACCTGGGTGGACTCTCTATCCAGCCTCAGCACAGGTGGTGGTGGTGCAGCTGCAATGCAGGCAGCATTACTAGGCTACCCCACCCCTGGAGCTACCCTCTGCCCAGGCCCAGACCTCTGCCCTCTGCCTTCCAGGTGGCAGCCCCAGGAACACCCTTCCATTCTTTTTTGTGTTTGTTTGCTTTGTTTTTTTTTGTTGTTTTTGTTTTTTTGAAATGGAGTCTCACTCTCTAACGCAGGCTAGAGTGCAGTGGTGTGATCTTGGCTCACTGCAACCTCTGCCTCCAGAATTCAAGCAATTCTCCTGTCTCAGCCTCCTGAGTAACTGGGATTACAGGTGCGCGCCACCACACCCAGCTATTTTTTGTATTTTAAGTAGAGACAGGGTTTCACTACATTGGCCAAGATGGTCTCGATCTCTTGACCTTGTGATCTGCCCACCTCGGCCTCCCAAAGAGGTGGGATTACTGGCGTGAGCCACTGCACCTGGCCCACCCTTCCATTCTTTGGGCATCCTCTGCCCACATTCCTTTGCAACCATCAGACACAAGCAACTGTGTGGCCAGCTTCACAGCTGGTCCTGAGTAGGGGCATTCAGCACGGAGGTCAGGGTGAATGTGGCTGTGTCCCCTGTACCCTCCTCCCCCAGCAGCCCTCGGAGATGCTTCCCCACTCACCAAGCTCCTTAATGGTCACAGTATCACTGGGCTCCGAGGGGGCGCCTGCCACATGAGTCTGGTAGCTGCAGCTGTAGTTGCCAGCCCGGTGGACAGGAAAGGTGGCCTCCGCATCCTTCTGGGCCTCAGGCATCTCCAGAAACTCATGGTCGCCTTCCCGCCTCAGCAGAAAAGTCACACCCCGCAGCCCGCCTCGGCACACCGCTGTTGTGTTCAGGCCAGGTGTGATCCAGGACACTGGCTTCACTGAGAGCCAGGGCAGAGGCAAGGACTCTGTGGGTGGAGTGGAATTGAGGAGTGGTTCTGCATGGCTTGGGAGACATGGGAAGCCAGCAGAACCTGGGCCCTACACTCATGACAATGTGAGGGAGACAGGGATGGAGGGCATTGACGGGAAAAGGAAGGCAGGCGCCGGTGGAAACAAGGCATACAGCAAGAGAAAGGAGTGTGTGGGGGCTGCACGGCATGGGGGCCTGCTGGGGACTCAATCCTTTATTCCTCGAAACACTGGGGTTAGCACAGACATCATCCCCATTTGACAGATGGAAGACTGAGGCTCAAAGACATCAGATGACTCGGAGGAAGGGGGGTCCCCCCAATAAGCCACCTGCCCACTGCCTCCTGGCCCCGATTCATGCCCCAGCTCACTTGGCCCTGTCAGCTCCAGGAGCTCGCTCAGCTGGGTCCAACTTTCAGACAAGCCTGAGCGGCAGCGGTACCGACCCCGGGTGTCACCCGTCAGCAGGAACTGGTGCTTGATGGCAGGTGCATCAAGGTGCACGGTCTCCTGGACCACCCCGTTCTTGAACAGCTGGAAGTCTACAGTCCCCAGGCGGGCCTGGCATGTCAGCGTTACCTCAGCCGAGGGTTCCAGCAGCGATTCGGACTCTGCCCACAGGAGGGGCTGGGTCTCAAAAACTGCAAGGGGTGGCTGGGATCAGCTCAGTGCCACGGGGACAGGGCTCACCCACAGCCTGGGCCCACCATCCCCAGACCCCAGCCCTGCACTCACATGTGGCTGCTTCTGTCACTGGGCCCAGGGAGATACCTGCGGAGACAGCCCCTGTGAGTCTCCCGTTCCTGCCCCTTCCAACCCCAGGAACCCAGGCCCCGGGAGTCCTCACCCCAGAGCGAGAGGAAGACCACCAACATGGACATGATGGTCACACTCACTCCGGTGCAGTGAGTGTCTGGGGTGAGAGTCTGCAGCAACAAGGCCCCGAGGGAGGGCGGTGGGGGCGGCTCAGGCACTGACCTTGTGTCTGGGGTGAGAGTCTGCGGCAACAAGGCCCTGAGGGAGGGCGGTGGGGGCGGCTCAGGCACTGACCTTGTGTCTGGGGTGAGAGTCTGCAGCAACAAGGCCTCGAGGGAGGGCAGCGGGGGCGGCTCAGACACTGACCTCTTCCCGTGTTTGTCCTTCCTGGAAGGCATGCGCAGGGCCAGCATGGGGTGGGGGCAAAGGGTGAACTTCTGAGGCCTCAGGATCCTAAGCAACAATTATGATCAATAATCATGGATAATTAATAAACTAAATCAATAACGAGAAAATGATGCTAAAATAACCTCATCGTCATTTCAGTGCTGGACCCTTTTCTAGAAGGGGACGCTGAGTTCTCACTCTGCCTGCAGCTGCTGAGTTCAGTGCACACTGCCAGGGCTGAAGTCCAGCGTGACCCCTCCGTCACACCACACCACACGTGTGACACCAAAGGTGGGGTTCACCTGTGTTCAGACATTCTGCGGCTGCTGTCGCATGGGCTGTCTGGAGGTGCACCCTCACTCTTCCTGGGTACTGTGGTTTCTTCTCCATCGCTGGTTTATTCTGCATGGTGTGAACCACCACTGCTCTGGAGTCAGATTTCCAACCAGGACAATCAGCTGAGATCTGCACTTCCCATGCCCACCCGTGACATGTGCCCTGTTACCTGAGCTGCTGGTGCTCACTCCTGCTGCCAGGAGGCCAGGCATCCCCCTTTCAGTGACTGCCTCCCCATCTCCCCGAGGCCTCTCTCTCTCTCACCACAGGCTGTTCCGATGGACAGGACAGGGGTGAGACCGTGGTGCTCTCACACTCAACCTCTGTGGAAGTCCTGTCATTCTCACCCCTAGAGTCTGGTTCCCACCCTGGGTGTCCCAGCCTAGCTCTGCTACTAGGGTGAGGGCTCAGGGAAACCACCCAGCCCTCACCTGCCCCCTGAACTGTATCTTCCCCACTCATTTATTCCACAAGCATGTAAGCATCTACTGTGTGCCAGACGCAAAGAAGACAGTGGGATAACTGGGCAAGGAGGATTCCAGGCAGAGGGAGCAGCCAGGGCAAAGATGGGAAATGGGGTTGTAATGAGAAGGAGCAGAGAAGACAAGGGGTAGGGACGGTTGCAGAGCTCAGGGACGTGATGGTGACCAGTCATACTGGGCACTGCAGGGGCTCTGGCTTCTGCTGTGAGGGATAGGGAGCTGGGGAGACTCCCAGAGTCTGGTTTCATTTCCATATTGCTGAGCACCTGGAGAGGCTGTGTGTTCTGGTTGGGCTGGGGGAGAATGCATTCTCTGCAGAAGACAACCAGGTGCTGAGGCCTGAAATCATAACCAGGCCTGGGGCACTCAGACAAGGACTGGAGGCCAGGCCAGAGGAGCAGAGCTCAGGGTGTGCACAGAACTGAACCTTGAACAGTGACTGAACCTTTGAACAGTGACTGAACCTTTCAGCCCACTGGCAGTGGGGCTGCCCAAGCAGCCAGTGGCATGGTCAAATATGAGGTCTGCAGAGGTGGAGCTGTCCGTCTATGAGTTTCCCAACACCAGCCTCACTGTACCCTCCTTTTAGCTCCCTTGGGTTCTCCAGCCGTAAGGGTGGTAGCAGCTTCCTGCAAGCATCAACTTCTGAGTTTCTGCAACATCACAGCAACATCCAGTTTTGCTCTCTGAGCCTTGTAAAACCTGCACAACCAGTCCCTAACTTATATCCCCTCTGTTTGAAAAAGCTAGTGCGGTTTCTGTTTCCTTACTGGACTCTAACTGGTGTAGTACTTGGTATCAACAAGAGTCCCTGGCAGGCCGGGTGCGGTGGCTCACGCCTGTAATCCCAGCACTTTGGGAGGCCGAGGTGGGTGGATCACGAGGTCAAGAGATCGAGACCATCCTGGTCAACATGGTGAAACCCCGTCTCAAAAAAAAAAAAAAAAAAAAAAAAAAAACAAGAGTCCCTGGCCAGGTGCAGTGGCTCACGCCTGTAATCCCAATACTTTGGGAGGCTGAGGCAGGAGGAACACTGAGTCCAGGAGTTCAAGACCAGCCTAGGCAACATGGTGAGACACTGTATCTACAAAAAAAAAATTTTAATTAGCCACGTGTAGTGGCACAAGTCTGTAGTCCCAGTTTCTCAGGAGGCTGACCTGGGAGGATCACTTGAGCCTAAGAACTCGAGGCAGCAATAAGCTGTGACTGCACTACTGCACTCCAGTCTGGAGGACAGAGTGAAACACTGCCCCCTCCCCCAAAAAAGAAAAGTCCCATGAAACATGTACAAAGGTGAGATTCTGGGATTGATTTGACTCTGACCTCGGTCAGGAATGCAGTGCTGAGCTTCTTGCCAACAGAATATGAGACACTAGGAAGCCACAGCATGCAGTTGCATCGTGTTTGACCGTCACCTGTGGTTACTTGACATGAAGTGTTGACTGAAGCCAGCACCTTGGGAGACACAGTGGCCACTGCACGGAGCAGCTGGTAGCAGCAATGGTGACCATGTGGACTGTGGGGTGGGTTGCCTACTTTTGACAGTGCTAGAGAACTTACAGAAATACGACAAGGTCAGGACTTTAAATCCTTAGCTCAAGACACACAGAAACTTCTGTAGTTTAGTGGATAAAAAAAAAAAAAAAAAAAGACACACAGGACCACAGAGCTTCTAGGCCACCTCTAAAAGAATTTCTGAAGCAAGGGCAAAAACACCTGAAACTTAGAGAATTTAATTGCATGCATTGCAGAATTACAACCTACACTGAATTCACAGATCCGCTAAATGTCATCTATGAGATTTAGGACAAGGAGGGAGACCTGAGGCATGGAATGGCATTGAGTGGATGCAAATGAAGCTGAGAATTGTGCCACTCTTGTACCAGAAGCTGAGCCAGCTTGCTCCAGTCAAGATAACACATCTGAGTCAGCAGCTGCAATTGGAGTAATGACCTGATAATCCACGGTCATTCCCTAGGACCCATCTGTCCTTTGCAGAGGCCAGTCAAGTACAATGGGGATGTGATCAGACCTGCCACCCCTGCAATTTCAAGTCCTTGAGAGTGGCACTGATTTCTGCAATCTCCCCAAGGACTTGACCTTGCTTCTGGTCTGCCTTCCTGTCAGAGGGGCACTCTAGGGGCTTCTGCTCAGGACATCCTATTTTTTTTGTTGTTTTTGAGATGGAGTCTCTGTCACCTAGGCTGGAGTACAGTGGTGCAATCTCAGCTCACTGTAACCTCCAGCTCCCTGGTTCAAGACTCCTGAGTAGCTGGGATTACCGGCACATACTACCATGTCTGGCTAATTTTTTTTTTGTATTTTTAGTAGATATGAGGTTTCACCACGTTGGCAAAACTGGTCTTGAACTCCTGACCTTACGTAATCCGTCTGCCTCTGCCTCCCAAAGTGCTGGGATTATAGGCGTGAGCCACCGTGCCCAGCCAGGCCCTCCTATTTTAAGGGCCCCCATCCTACCAGTCAAAGAGCCACTGTGGTGATTCTGTCATTTGCTGAGTATGTCTTATCCAATGACCCATCCTCACACTGGGGAATAACAAGAATGGTGTGCACACAATGAGACCACCAGAAGACAAATTCAGGGCATAAAGTCCTGCTTTGTCCGTGGACCACAGAGTATTTGAGGATTAGCCTCAACTCAGAGCCAGGCTCTCTGAATTCCTGAGACATCTGAGTATTTCCTGCCCCACCCTCACCCCAGGGAAATGGCAGCAGAACCTTTGAGGAAGATATACTGTCTATTCTTGTGGCGGGACTGGCTCTTTCTTAAAAGGGATCAGTCTCGGGCCGGGCACGGTGGCTCAAGCCTGTAATCCCAGCACTTTGGGAGGCCGAGGCGGGTGGATCACGAGGTCAAGAGATCGAGACCATCCTGGTCAACATGGTGAAACCCCGTCTCTACTAAAAATACAAAAAATTAGCTGGGCATGGTGGCGCTTGCCTGTAGTCCCAGCTACTCAGGAGGCTGAGGCAGGAGAATTGCTTGAACCCAGGAGGCGGAGGTGGCGGTGAGCCGAGATCGCACCATTGCACTCCAGCCTGGGTAACAAGAGCGAAACTCCGTCTCAAAAAAAAAAAAAAAAGGGATCAGTCTCCCTTCAGTTGAGAAGCCATGTGTCTGGGGACTGACCTAGGTCTGTAAACTGGGTAATAGGTGTGAATCTTGCAATTGCCTCGTAAGGGGCACCCCATTCCCTCCAGCCACTCCTCATTGTCCCAGAGCTCTAACTTGTCTGGCATGCTGTAAATGGACAGGTGTGAACTATACTTCAGAGGGTTGCTATTATACTCCAAAGGAATTGCCAGGTTTTCATTCATGTAATTGATGTAAACCTGGGGAACAAGTATGGGGATGGCACCTAAGGGTATCTGACCAAGGAGGATGGGGCACAATGTTGGACTGGAACAAATGTATCTACAGGGGATGACTTACAGAGATTAAATTTAAGATGTAAGCTTGTACAGCTTGAAGAATACTGTTTGTTTGACAGGTTCACTAAGACCTGGACTCAATAGTGGCCCAAATTCAAGGAGGCTGAATTGCTAGAACTCCCCTGGTACAATTTGGAGAAAGGAATCCAAAAGCTTAGGGATACAGGAAATGTTGTACAGTTTGGAATCTGTGGGTTATCTCAATAACCTTCAGCTCCCTGGTCTCATTGGCTGTGATCCCAGTTTCAGGCATGAACTCAAGAGAGGAGAGGGAAGGGGGAGGTGCATGGGGGGGGGAGGTGAGGGGTTGGGGGCTATAACCTTGACTGTGGACCCTCTTACTTAGGAAATACCCTTGTCATCCTGCGCTCTGAGGGCAGCCCGAGAGGAGCAAAAGTAGCCCAAGGACTCTGGTAAGCTGAAACAATGCAACGGAGACCCCTGGGGTTTCTGAGCAAAGCTGTGTCTCTCCTGTATCCCCTCAAAGCTCCAGCAACCACCATGGTTCAGCCTTTAGAGGCCAAGCCCCCTTTCCCAGCTCCTAGGATCTGGTAAAGCCACCTCTTCATGGCGTCCCCAGCTCAAGGTGGGCCACATCACAGGCTCAATCGCTGCACAGGTCCACGTGCAGGGACTTTCTTGCCCTCCCAGCAGAGAAGAGCCATGTGGCGCCAACCAGAGGCCTGTGGAAGTCAAGCTGGGTCCACAAACAGCCAGCAGTGTTTCTAGGCAGACAGATTTATCCTTTAAAATGAATCCGAGGCCGGGCAGGGGTGCGGTGGTTCACGCCGGTAATCCCAGCACTCTGAGAGGCCGAGGCGGGTGGACCATGAAGTCAGAAGATCGAGACCATCCTGGCCAATATGTTGGAACCCTGTCTCTATAAAAAAATAAAAATAAAAAGTAAAACGAATCCCAGCCACAATGGTGGAGAGAACCGAGGCGGGGTGGGGGTGAGGGACGCCGTGCAGCTGTGGACAGAGTTCTGCCCCTCCCTCAGGCTTAGGCGTCCTGCTGCCCTCTAGGCCTCTGACCTCCTAGCCCTTAGCCGGAGACAGAAACCCGTTTACAACCTCTGTTCTCGCTCACAGCTTGGAAGGAAGGAGGGGAGGGGACTCACACCCTGCCCTTGTTCCCACTGGAGCCCCAGATCTCCATTTCGCACAGTTCTCAGAGGAGACCACCACACCTGTTAGAGACGCCAGTTCTTGCCCATCTCTGCAAGGACGAACCTCTACCAGAAGTAGAGCTTGCTGCCTCCACCCTCTGGATCTTTCTCTGGGGTCAAGAGCCCACCACACATGTTCGAAGCCAGGCCTTGGTGTCCGGTGGGGATACCTTCAAAGGGACTGTGCACCACGGTCCTCCACGCCCAGGGCCTCCCCTGCACTCCCAGCAGGACAGCGTCCGCACCGGCAGCCGGCGAAGGCAGGGCCAGCAGACAGCGCACTCAGACCCGGGACCCCGCAGCGCCGCGAGTCCGCGACCTCCCGCTCAGGGGCGTCCTGGGGTCAGGGCGCAGCGCGGCCCCCGTGCCGCTTCCGGTGCTAGTTAAGGTTGGAGCGGTGGCTGAAGGGTTTCCCGCGCTCGCCGCAAGCGTAGGGATGCTCGCCCGTGTGCTGGCGCCGGTGGCTCACGAGCTCCGACTTGCGCACGAAGGCCTCGCCGGAGTGCAGGCGCTGGTGCCGGCGCAGTTCGGGGCGGCCGCGGAAGGCGAAGGGCCGCTCGCCCGTGTACGTGAGTCGGTGGCTGAGCAGGTTGGGGCGCTGGCTGAAGGCCTGGCCGCACCGGGCGCACGCGTGAGGCTTCTCGCCCGTGTGGTGTGCACGCGCCGGTGCTCCTCCAGGTGGGAGCCCGTGACGAAGGCCTGGCCGCACTCGGCGCACTCGAAGGGCCGCTAGTCCGTGTGTGAGCGCTAGTGCTGCAGGAGCTGCGAGCTCCCGCGGAAAGCCTGGCCGCCCTCCGCGCCGGGGAGCGGCTTCTCGCTGCTGCGTGTGCGCGGGTGCTGCCCCAGACCCGCCGCGCGCACGAACGCCTTGCCGCAGTCGGGGCAGGCGTGCGGCCGCGCGCCCGCGTGGATCTTCAGGTGCTCCAGGAAATTGGAGTTCCAGCTGAAGGCCTTGCCGCACTCTGGGCACTCGTAGGGCTTCTCGTCCGTGCGCGGGCGGCGGTGCTGGACCGGCGTGGTGCATCGGCCGAAGGACTTGCAGCAGTCTGGGCAGCGGAAGGGCTTCAGGCCGCTGTGTGTCTTCTGGTGGTGGATGAGCTGCGAGTGCCCGCGGAAGGCCTGGCCGCACTCGCCGCTGTGGATGCGCCGGTGCTGGCTGAGGCTGGAGCTCCACGCGAAGGCCTGGCCGCACTCGGGGCACGTATAGGGCTTCTCGCCGGTGTGCACGCGCCGGTGCTGCAGCAAGTAGGAGCTCTGGCTGAACGCCTTGCCGCACTCCCCGCACCGGCAGCCCGGCCTCGCAGGGAGGGGAGAGGGCTGCGGCGCCCGGTCTGAAGGCTGGCTCCTGGGCCCGGCCCCCACCTGCCCACCGTCTGCGGGCTCCCGCTCCCTGCCGGGACCCTCCTGGTCGTCCACCGCCCCCAGCGTGGCTTGCTGCTGCTGACCATCTCCTGCCTCCTCTGGGACCTCCGTGAAGTCTTCCCAGGCCCCCCAGCCTCCAGACACAGCCCCCTCAGAGGGGCCCCTAGTGGCAGTCTTCTGGGGCCACCTGCAGGGTCCACCCTCCTCGGGACTCCATCTCGCTTCTGTCACCTAAAACAGAAGAGAAACGGTAAGTTCCTTAGAGAACACAAAGGCAGACAGCGCGCCTGAGGGGCTGGGGGACATGACTGTGGGGGGGCTGGTTGTCATGCCCTCACCCAATCTTCTCCTCATGGCCCTGGATGTCCCGTGCCCTCTGCAGCCTGGAGCAGGAAGACTAGCAGGCGGGCTAGACACTCAGGGGACAGGCCAGCATTCTGGGCCTCTCTGACAGTGCCACGTGCACATCCTCACACCCGGCTCAGCAGGAGCAGGAGGGGCGCCAGGATCGCGAAGGACTCAAAGCCGTGTGCACCACACTTGCACCGGCCCTCTTGGAACGTCACTCTCTTCCACTTGCTTGAGGCTGGTGGCGGGTGGAGGGGGGGCGGGGAGTGTCAGGAAGGTGAGGACTCCAGTTTGTGAAGATGGTGGATCTGCCTCCATTCCGGAAGGCTGGAGAACATGCCACACCCAAACCCAGCTATGTCTGCCTCACCCACTCCACCCTGGTCAGATCCCTGGGCGGTCCCCTCCACACAATATTATGGTCAGCACCGCCAGGCTGGAGGAATCTCAGTGGCTCTTACCCAGGCCATGGCCACACCAGGCCTCTGTGCAGGCCAGACCAGATAGTCCAGGGCATGGGGTGGCTGTGCGGCCCAGATCCCTGAGGGAGAGAGGCCAAGGGTGGGAGGGCCTCCTTGGTCCTGAAGCCATGCCTGCCTGTCCAGCCGTTCCTTCCCACAGTGAAGTCTCTACAGTGAGCAAAGCCCATCCCCATTTGCCCTGAGCACCTTATCATTCTTTGTGTAGCCTCCAGCCCTGCTGCCAAGACAGGGCAGGGCAGGGACAAGTGCGTGGATGGTTCCATACCTGGAGGTGGGGCCTGGAAGGGGCCCAGGGGAGCCTCTTGCTCCTCTACCTCCTGTCCTGGGGACCAGATCCTCTTGGAGGCTGGGAGCTGGGACCTGGAAACAGGAAGGCTGGAGGGCAGGGTGAGGTGTTCAGCCCAGCAGATCTGAGGAGAAAACATGGGGCATGCAGTGGCATGACCCACCCTTCTCTGCACCCTCAGTTCTCAGGACAGTGCAGAGCACACAGGTGTGGATTGGAGATCTCTGACTCTGCAGCCCAAGCCAGGACCACCAAACTCCCACCTGTCACTATCATTTTCCCGCAGCCCCAGGCCCTCTCAGACACCAACCCCCTACCGGTCCCAGTGCTGGCTCAGCTGGGGTTGTGAGAGAGGGAGGCACACCCAGCCCCCAGCCCAGCCCCTACCGACCTAGAGTTGCGGCTCAGCTGACTCCTGCTGCAGCCCCTCCACCAGGGTGGTGGCGTTCTCAGGGCTGCCGGGCCACTGCTCCTGCGGTAGGCCTGGATCTCCAGGACCAGTGTGCCCAGTAACTGCTCCAGCACCGAGAGCTCCAGCATCTGCTCCTTGGAGCATGCCTCGGGCGTCAGCCACTGGCACACAGCTCATGCAGCTGGGCCAGGGTTCCTCACAGCCCTGCTGCCTCCTCATAGCAGAACCCCCAGAAGCTCTGGCCAGGGGTCTTAAAGCTGGGCTTACCCATCATCAGTGCGAGTAGACTCTGGAGGACCTGGGGGGCGAGGGCTGATGCCTTACACATCTGGGCAGCCATCCTGCCCATTCACTGGGAGAGAAGGGCAGCTGCTTGGCCCAAAGTACTTTCTCCAGAGCTGGAAACACACAGGTGAGGCTGTGAGCACAGCAAGGCCATGAAGGCCCCCTCCTTGGGACCAACTGAGACTGAGTAAAAATGTAAGAATGGGGGTATCAGCGCTTTAGGCCCCCAGTGTCAGCATCTTTGCCCACCTGGGTATCAAGGTGCCTGAGGGACACACTGAGGTGCCATGGCTGCTTGAACATCCCTGTGCCTCTCCCTGCTTTTCCTGAGGGTCCCTCCCCTGCCTTGTCTTCTTTCATCCCATACACAGACCACCTAAGGCAGAGATTGTAAACAGGACACCCAGAGTCAGACCAGCAGATGGGTCCTGTTTGACAGTCCCCTCCAGGAAGTGTTTTAAAATTTTAAGTTGGCTGCCAATGTTAACACTTAATCAGATGCTGGTGGGAATGTAAAATGGTGTAGCCTATGTGGAAACAGTGGCAGTTTCTCAAAGGGTTAAATGTAGACTTATCATATGACCCAGCAATTCCACTCATAGAGAAATGAAAATATGTCCACACAAAACCTTGTACTTGGATATCATGGCAACCTTATTTATAATAGCCAAAAAGGGGAAACAAGCCAAAATGCCCATCAACTGATGAATGGACAAAATAAAACATGATCCATCTCTCCATACAATGGAATATAATTCAGCCATAAAAAGGAATGCCCACCCTGGTCAACATGGTGAAACCCCATCTCTTCTAAAAATACAAAATATTAGCCAGGTGTAGTGGCTCGTGCCTCTGGTCCCAGCTAGTTGGGAGGCTGAGACACAAAAATCACTTGAACCCAGGAAGCAGAGGTTGCAGTGGGCTGACATCATGCCACTGCACTCCAGCCTGGGTGACAGAGTGAGACTCCATCTCAAAAAAA